ATAACAGACATCTCTCTTGACCCGCGAAGAAAATTTGTGAATTCCTTTTCTCTTATCTTTCATTTATTGGAATCGTTAGAAGATCTTTGACCTAAAGTGCTCATCATCAGAGCCCATCAAAGCTACCGATTGGCCCCTTATTGCAGCCTTGCCGACGACTGTCGTTTCACTGTGTTGATTAGGGGCCGCCGTTTCCTAACTAATGATGCCAAGAAAAGATCGCAGCGGTGGTCTTTCTACTGAGATCACGTTTCCACCGTTTGTCCTCCACCGACTACAGATAGCGGAGATGTTTTATCAACATCAACATTCAGGAGAAGTTGATTTATATTCCCTGTCATGACTGCATCTTTGTGAGTTAAGCCGGAGGTGTTTGGAAAGGGATCAGCACCTCTGCGCTTGAATGGCTTCAGCTTAGTGTGGTTTTAAAATCTATTTAGAGATGCAGATATACATGTCTGCATATAAAATGATCAGCGAAGAGTTGTGGTAAGGCAACAACTACATCCGGCGCCACAATTTTCTGTAGAGATGTCAGCATTCGGGCTAAGGTAAGTTGAAATCTTATTGCTTTAATCTGTACATAAACGGCTAATAATTCTGCTCACTTCTCCTGCAGAAAGAGACAGTTACGGTAGAGTTACCTCGAAGGTATCAAAACAAACTTCAAATTGTAACCTTGTCGCTTTTCGTTCTTCGACTTTGACTTCGAGTTATTCTCACAATTTTCTTGTTGCAATTTTTCGCTCGCGCTTCTCAAACTCGCATGAACTCCTCTTGTACGTATCAAAACAATTTTGCCTGATATGTTTGGCCTTGCGGATTTCACTTGTGTTAGGCACACTCTTAAAGTACTCGTTTGTTATCAATTGAAATTAGTCATCTACCAAAGGAATCAAAGTTTCTCTGCGTGAGCGAAAAAGCTAAGTTTGTTTGTTTAATTGTTTGAAATTACTCATCAAATTTTAGTAAGGGCATGAACTTGGATAAAGAATGGTTAAAACTTACTCCTGTAAGGGTATATTCTATGTCCACATCGTTAGTTACGACAGAATGTTACACTAATGTGACAAGAGAGGGCATTAATTTTATTATGCTAGGCAAAAACTAAATAAATCAGGGACTCAAAAAATCAAGAATTCGAGTGCGGCGTTGAGAGCGGTAAACAAAAATTGACAGACTCCGGTGAGGTAAAGAAATCTTCAGTAGCTAGAGTTATGATTTCAGTGACAAAAAAAAATCTATCGCGACACAACCACGTTGTCAGGGTCTCTCATGAAAACGAGGTTGGGGGCGACATAGATTACTAGCCACGCTCCTGTGTAGACCGGACTCGCGTGAGCGGTGGAAATCGAGCCTAGTGGCGACATTACGGCTGCAGGCCATGCTTGCAGAAAATTCAATGAGGCTGCTTTACTGTAGGATTCTATACAAATTATGCCTCGACTTGTCTACCACTGCACCTTCCTTTGCCATCTCTTGACATCCTTTTAAGTTTCAGATGTGTCCTTTTATTTCAGTTTAGATGGATACAATACGGATGGCTCGGATGTATCTTCCACTCCAGATCTGGATCTCCCGCATGACATTTCAGTCCTGAGGGACTCCCCTACACCTTTTCTCTGCATCACAGATGACAATGACGTCACTCATTCACCGGATTCTCCTGGCACGCCAATACATTTTCTTGTAAGATACACTTTGTCATTGTTCATGTCATTCCGGTCACGTGTTGTAGTTTGCCAGAGTACAGCAAAACTGTTTCACAAAGGCGTAACACAACTTCAGCAACAACATTTCATTTGCACCGTAGATCCGTTTTTCTAACATTACAACCAGAAAAAAGGCGAAATAATCGCCTTTCCTCGCTGAAAAAGATACGGGGTACACAACCTTAAGCTCTTCGTTGTTGCTGATGTGGTTGTTGTTGGGTTGCTATTGCCACTGTTGTTTGAACTTTGTTTACTTACCCTTCGGTATCCTAGACAGGGAGCCAAAGCGAGACACTAAAACTCCACACGAAAACCTGGGGTGGCTGGCGCGGCAATTTTTCCTGTAACTCTATTTTCGTTTCGCTTCTAGACAAACTTAACGCAAGAACATTAAATGCACGTTTAAAAAATATATATCTCCTGACCTGCAAATGCCTGTCTTATAAAAACTGTATTGAGACAGGTTGTAAGCTTTGGGATTAGTACGTAGAATACATGCAGCTACGTTCTCTGTGTCTTTTTCGCGCGCGAGTCCGCAAGTCCACGTGCTGACCAATCAGCCAGTGATATTCAACTGTAGATGGTGGCAAGCGTTCTTTTGAGAGGGTCGGCTGTAATATCAGTTATCAGCTAAATTGGCGGTTTAATACGTGACGTGGAAAAGAAGGACTCGATCCGCACTCCGCACTCATCGTTTTCCCCCTAACCCAACTATTGATGAAATTCACTGTAACGGAAATGTCAGAAAATTCTGTCCTGTGCAAGCGCTGTTCTTTTCTTTTCTTTTCTTATGTTTTGTTGGGTGAATTTGTTACTTTAGCCGGTGGCAATCAATACCTTTTGTAATTTAGATTACTTTCAAGTGCCTTAATCCCTGAAGCAAAGAAGGTGAAACAAGAATTTGTTTAAAGTAGATTTAAATTCCAAAGAAGCCAAAGACCTGAGTTACTGGAGGCACATTCAGCGACAATCTGATAGCGCATCAACGTTACAAAAGCAAGGGACCACTTGATTCGGACGACCGAGATATCAAGAATGTAATAGTTTTGAGACAGATCAACAAATGTTATTATTCCTTCAAGAATTCTTTCATCAGCGGTAGACAACAAAACAGAAGCTTTGTTTCCTGTTGTCAAATCGTAACATGAAAATGACACTTGCTCATTCAAACTTAACTTAATTCAACTTTGTTGGGTTTAATAAAGATCAATACTTGATACCATGGAATTCACATCGTATACAGCCAGTGGACATTAGGCGACTGTCAGAGAGATTCCTTTTGAAATAACGCGGCCGATAGCGTGATTCCATCGCTTTCAGGTGTGTGCGGACTCACAAATGGTTTCCTGATTTCGCAAAATGTAAGTCCCTGAATGTTTGCATTCCCCCATCACTGCGTTTCTGAAAAACCTAACCACATGTGTTAAGTGTGGGTACGCATAGTCCTTTTTGAAGGAAACTGGCGCGATTATGAGTTCGTGAACTGAAAATGGTTTTCCTTTTTCTAATCTAAGAACAAACATATACATTATGTACATCACACCGAGAATTATATAGGTTTCAGGTTAGGATATGCCTTTCAATGCCATTAACTACAATTCAAAGTTCTGTTGGGCAACCCTAAATAAAATTTCCGTTTTATCCTTTTGCCAGCGATCTGGTTTACAGATTTAATACGAAAAGTAAAGAGACATGAATTTCTTTATTTAATTGCCTCGAAGATAACTTGAAACTTTTGTTCTAACTCTTGGAAATTTGCCGGAACAATTCTGAAACAAAACAATCGCAACAGTAAAAGTTTAAAACTTTTGAAAGTTTGTTTTGTGACTTCTGAATGAAATTTCAGTGGCTGGCAGCCTTGAGTCGTGGGACAGTTCCACTCTTTGACAATCAGCTGGTGCCTACTCTCACTTTGTAACCCAGCTATTCGATTCTTCATGTTCGATTTCTATAATTTGGCATCCCCGTCAGTGGACCCTTCGATGAAATATATGGAATAAATTTCTCTGGGGTATAAGTTCGGTGTCATTGCAGTACAGAAATTTTATCATCGCCTTAAGAGACGTACCGACGAGATAGATTGGTACCTGTTAGCTCTTACAAAAGAATAGCCAACCCGCGTGACAAGGCTGCCCGCTTTGTAGGCGTGACAAAAATTGCGGGGAAGCGGTTGCTACGCAATTGCAAGCTATAGCAATTTGAACCACTTCAGACTGAACTTGATCTAAAAGCAGATCATTACGTCCTCACGGTGCTGAAATCGCTTGTTTGTTTGTTTGTTTATTTATTTATTTTCAGATTTATTTGTTTGCCTTTTTCGTTGTTTGAATATCCATGGTGCGGAATTATAATTTAAAAAAAAAATGAAACTCAAACACAATAATTTGTTCATAAGAAGCATTTCTTCGTTATTTCTTCTTCCCCGTCCAAAGTTTACTGTCTGGCTTATTGTACGTTGTAGATAAAAAAAAATACCGTTCTGAAAATGTCAAATAAATCTAATGTATGCTCTATACTGGTTTTAAGATTTGCTTGCGAACCCGGGAATGGAAACGAAAAATAGTTCCGTCTGAGATAGCGAGAACTTTGAGAAGCAGCCGATACTGAGTGAAATGACTGAAAGCGTATATCTAAGAGACAATGATTTGAGCTCGAGATAGCGCTGAGTTCAGAGTAGTTTGAAGTTGAAATTTTCTTTTTTTTACAGTCAGATTTCGAAATGGAAGTTGAAATCAACGATGACACAGAGGCGCGCCAGAGGTTCGAATCCAGTCTTCCGGAAAATTGGGTCTTATGCTCGTCCAAGAGTCACACTGGTCGACTCTACTATTTCAACTCCGTGACTGGAGAGAGTCGTTGGCAACATCCCCTGCTACCGGACATGGACTCTCCGGTGAGTTTGAATATCGATTTATTGTTAAAGAAGGCCTGATCCTTCCAAATTTCAAGGTGTGATAGTTCTGAATAGACACTTGTTTTAGATGGAAACCTCACCAAGGATCAATCATTTGAAGTTCGCCTAGTGACTACCGTTCAGGTACGGCCTGCGTTCAGGCTTTCCTTTTCCTGCCGTGACAAAAAGAACGCCTGACGGCAGGTTAAGTTCCCGTGAATGTCATTAGTTACTCCCCTTACCTCCTGCTCCGTCCCCCTTTCCCCTCCCCTAAGCTGAGATCATAATTTTACGATCTTTCAAGTTGTATTTTCATACTGCTGCTTACTCTCTTTTTCTTCGTTATCATGAAACTGTGTTGAAATGAAGGCGATTTCTTTTTTCGTCATTTTTTGAGAAAGGAAATAATTTGGAAAATATTAACGAAAGAGGAAATCTCAAAGCTTCAAGGCGTGGCCGACAATTTTTCTAATAAATGAAATTTATTCTGATGTTACAAGAAATTTATTTTGCACATCGTGTGCCAACGCTCGTGAACTAAAGCTTTCACCAAAGCGGATTCTTTACTCAGATAACAAAGTTCTGCCACAATAGCTGGTACATGGTGTTTTGAACTTTTCTTTAGTTTGGAACGGAAATATGGCCGCCCTCAGGGGTCCTCAAGCGCACAGCATACGTAATAACTAACGACCCGGAATGAACGAATATTTGCGAATGCAGCGGTGATTACGGGATTTTTTTTTTGGCCAAATATAGTAGTTTGTGGCAAAAAAAAAAAAATTAATTGCGGTGGACAAGTGAGTCGGCTATTTGGTTTCCCGATATTGTTTAAGCGCCGCGAGTCAGGCAAATTACTGCCCAGCGGCTTCTGTGTGAATTAATTGTTTCCCTCCAAAAAAGCATTCAAAATAGAGATGGCTTGGTAAAAGTGCAACGAAAGTCTGTCGATCGCTCAATCTTGGTTCTTATTTCACGATGCCTGGAAAGGTAAGGAACTTATCTAAGAAAGAGACCACCTCTAATGTATCGTGATCAATTGTTTGTCGTGTTTCTTTGTGTGTCTCAGGAATATATGTCGTCATGCTTTGGTTGAGCAGAAAAATAGGTCCGCTGTTTTGTTAACCGTTTCACGTTTTGTTTGCTCATTTGGCGCGAGAACCAAATTCTTTTCTATCCACAGAGGTGCTGTAAAGTGCTACAGGTTGAAAAGAATATTGAACACTGGTGTGTCCGAAATTAATACGATTAGACGCTTGAGTATTTCACCAGCAGCTCCGTTGTAATTTTAAGTTATGTCAACAATATTTACCTCGAAGTTAAGTGTTGCATTATGATCGCAAAAGGGCATTCTTTGAAAGTAAACATATCGTACAAATCGAAATTCTTTAGTAAGTTTTGAAATAAACATATGTTCATCGCGTCCCTCGGTCGAAAACTTTCTGGTTTTCGATTTGACTTGCAGGTTTTTCTGAACGTAAACAAACTTGTGCGATCAGCGAGACGAAACGCTTGATGAGTTTGTGTTTATATTTTCAGGAAAAGACATCTAATTCCACCTCAGGTTTCGTGGTGACCGATTTTATAATGCCAGCTCGCGATAAGCCAGTTTCACATTCGCCTTCGGATCCTCCTTTGTGTGAAAACGTAAGTTTTATTGCTTATTAAAAAGTACTTTAAACTAATGATAACTTTTACAAGCCCAGTTACGTGGTTATTGAATTTTAACAAGTTCTTGAAGTCTTTATCCTTTTCCTGAGGTTTATTCATTAATAATTAAAGGTCAAACAAATTTTCAAGGGAACATCTCTATCTTAGTTATACTTTCAAACACTTCACATTTAATTAGTGAATAAAATTTTCAAATTTATTTCTTGTTAAACATCATTAATTGCCACTGACATGAAAAACCCTTTCAGACTTAGTTCTTGCCATTTTAAACTGAATTGAATTAAATTAACATATCACGACAAATTACTCTAAATGTTAATGAAGGTCCTTTAAATTCCCTTCCATAGAATTCCAATACAATTATTTTAAAATGAAGACACCATGTTGTTAACTTTTTGTTCTTCTTTTGACAGTGTAGAAAGTTAGAACTTACCTTTTTTGATCCAAACTGTCCTGGCTGCCAAGACATTCTTCTAGAGTAAGTGTTAAGACTGTACAAAACAGACAAGACTCATGTGTGAACCCTTTGTGAAGGCTCAGTGGAAACCTCTAGCACTGCAATTGGCCCTTTTTATTCAGGACACACATACACTGTCAAGACAAACTTTATGCATCTGCTGCCTTCTGAATTTAGTATATTAGGACGAAACCAGCTATCAGATGCACTTTACACTACTAGCTTATCTCAATTAGTGCTTCATTCAAAACATATTTTGGTCTTGTCATTTATAATTTGTCTTGTGATGTTCTTTATAGTGAGGTGTATTTTAACTGAGATGGACTAACCTTGGCTAGTTTGAGCGCAGGGGTGACAACTCTTACAAACACTATTTGAAGAGAATTGTGTGTTTGTCAAAGGCCTCCAAAAAGTTTTGCAATGTGATATGTCATCTCTAATTTCTTAGAAATGTTTTTGAGGCTCCCGATTCCCAGTAATTTACATAATTCTTCTAGATGTGGAGCAAGAGTTTGCTCTTCTCTGGAAACTTTATTTATAAGAGTTGTGAATAAAACTAAAATTATAAGTTAGAGTTGTCACTCTTTCCGTCGAATTTGGCCAGACAGACTACCAGTTTTAAAACAGCAATTCCTTAAATAATCAAATCATCCTTGAAAGAGTTGTGCTCAAAGCACACAACTGTGAATAATAAATTATTATATTTTCATCTACAATTTTCATTGAGTAATCTCTAGATTTTAATAAACACAATTCACCTTTTTCACAGTCCAAAGACAACCATCTCAGAGATTTTTGCGATAATGAGGCAATGGGTGCCACAGGTTCAACAAAACATTGAAATGCTTGTCAAAGAGGTAAGACGAGTATACAATAATTATTGTACATGTATTTCTTTTCTTGACAATGGTGGACAAAAATACGATGTAATGGATTTTTCAGTGTTACCCCAGTGTCTGGCCCTTACAGTTCTACTGGTAGTGCTGTAAATATCTCTTCAGGCGATAAATTTCTTTGAACATATTGTTCTTTGCACCTGGTGAAAAATTTAGAAGTTTATAAGATTAGCTGGTCTGGAAAGAGCTTACAGTCAAAGCAGATGTTCTTTTGGTGGGAATTCTGCAACGTTACAGTGCAGTGTTCCAATATTGATTGACAGTTTGTTGGGAAAAACTTGGAACTTTCAATTCAAATTTCCTAAGCAAGTGCAAAATCTACTTTTCATTTCTTCAGTATTAGTTACATATAGGAAGAAATAGACAGTGCTACTTCTCACAGCCATTGCCCACCACCTGACATTTACTTTAATTTTGCTTTCAGTAATTAATTCTAACTAGCATCCCTCTTTATTAATACCTGGGCCTCCTTAAAAGATCTTCATATTTAGCAACGATTGTTAAGTCTAGAGCTCTTACTTAATGGTAACTAATTATAAGCTCTTTAACATTTAGGTGTTAAGGAGAGGTGCCCATGTAGATGATCGGGATGGCCTGACAGATATGACCTTACTTCACTATGCCTGCAAGGCTGGGGCAGGTATGAATGAATGAAAACTTTATTAACATGTCATGTTCCTGGACAGTAGTGGATTCACTAAACTATATTATTAATATTATGTGCAGGATAATGCAATTTGTGTTGTTATTGAACATAGTAAGTACTCCGGTGTAACGTAAGAGCTCAAATGCAAGTGGCTGGAAGCCACTGACATTTCTTTAAAAAGATTTAATTAAGAAGGTAAAAGCACCCTCTGTCTCAGTCAAAGACTTCACAAAGACCATCTGCATTTTATGACAAGAGTATTCCAAAAGTTGTAAGTTGCTTTCAGTTATCTATCTAACTCCTAGTATAGTTCCACTGTTTAAGGAGTATACTTATTAAAGATTAAAGATTAAAGATCTTCAGGTGAGATCAGTTGAATTGTTTGTCTCATTTCTTTGTAGTTGGTGTTGGTGATGTTGCTGCTGCAAGCATTGTTGTTAGTTCTTTGATTTCACAGGTAATTTTCAACAGAATCATTCTGTCATGACAGTAGTTGTTACTCTATACTTAAGAAACACCTTACATTTTAAAATAAATGATAAAAAGTTGAGGAGAACTACAGTAAAT